GCGGTCCCGAAGTCAATGCCTCTCCGCAGTCGGAGCCTCCGTCTCAACGCCTGGATCGGAGGGATCACGACCCTTTCCGCCGTCACCTCGCCGTCGTCCAGGTTCTCACCGTGGCCGTCTGCGTCGTAACCCGGAGCCGATGCAGGGTCGGACCCGGAGCACTTCTCGACCGCCGACCCCGACCTGTCGATCCGCCTCTTCCGCGGCCGCTTCGTTCCAGCCTGGGACGGCCCTTGCATCCCCAGAGTTGCGGTGACCGGTGCGCCGGGGTTCCCTGGATCCCGGCGCTCGATGTCGCCAACCGGGTTCGTCCCCTCGTCGCCGCCGTCACCATCGCTCCCGCTCTCGCTTTCGCCTCCTTGTGTCACCGGATCACCGGCGGGTGCATCTGCCTCGTCCGCGTCAGCTCTCCTACTAACGGGCTTCACCTCGCGGCCGCCGCAGTCATCGCCGTATGCGTTCTCCTCGCGGTCTTCTTCCGGATTTTCAAGCTTCTGCCGCTCGTTCAAGATTTCAGGTAACCCGTCGTCGTCGTCCGTTTTCCCGGTGGGCTTCTGGTGCTCCTTGCCCGTCCGAACCGCCGGCTCGACCTCGATGTCGCCGCAGTCATCGCTGTCCGCGTCTATCTTCTCGGTGGGTTTGGAGTGTCCGTTGTTCGTTTTGACAACCGCATCGGATGCGCCGCCCGCTCCGACCCGGCCCTCGTCTTTCCTACCGCGGCGCGACTTCTCTTCTGCCTGCTTCAGATTAAATTGGGCGATCTCGAGCCTGGCTTTTAGAGCTGCAATTTTTAGCTCAAACGCGTTGTCGCCCTCACTCCCTTCGCCGCTGTCACCATCGCTCACGCTTTCGCAGCGGGCCTCGATGTTCACCTGTTCCAGGCATGTCGTCCACGGCAGCAGGAGACTTTCCCACTCCACTAGGTGTTGTTCGCCCGTCTTGACGACCGCCTCAGATTTTCCGTTCGCTCCAACCTGGCCCTCATCTTTCCCACTGCGGCGCCAATTCTCCTCGTCCTGATTAGCGTAAAATTTGGCTATCTTGAGTTTGAGTCTTAAAGATGCAATTTTTAGCTGGAGAGCGTTCTCTCTTTCACTCCATCCCCCTTTTAATACGTCGTCCAACATCGCCGGGCTCTAATCCCCGTTCTCGCTCATTATAACTCGAGCTCCTTTAGTCGTCGACCGCGACACCACTGACATGCAAAACCCGGAGGAAACAGAAATGAGTCCCACCTGTGTCAGTGCGCCGCTCCTGAGTCGATGACTCTCCGGTGTCGCTGGACGTCACCCACCGGAGTCGGTCCTGGGTTCGGGCCCGGCTGGTCCGCTCTTCGGGTCGCAACACCACGCAACCTCTCACGTAGACGATGCTGCGTCGTCGCTGCACTTTGGACCGCCGCACACGAAGCTTCTCGCGTAGATGTTGCTCCGTCCGCTCCTTCTCTTCGGGTCGAAACCCACGAGGCCTATCACAGGGATGTCGCCTCGTCCCCTTTGGGTCGAAACCCACAAGGCCTCTCACGAGGATGTCGCCTTGTTCTCTTCGGGTCGAAACCCACGAGGCCTCTCACAGGGATGTCGCCTCGTTCACTTCGGGTCAAAATCCGCCAAGACCGCTCACGGGGATGTCGTCCTGGTCACTTCGGGCCGGAGCCCACGAGGCTTCTCACGTGGATGTTGCCTCGTCCACCGTTGACGTCGGGTCGAAACCCCCAAGACCTCTCACGGGGATGTTGTCCTGGTCACTTCGGGCCGGAGCCCACGAGGCTTCTCACGTGGATGTTGCCTCGTCCACCGTTGAGGTCGGGTCGAAACCCCCAAGACCTCTCACGGGGATGTCGTCCTGGTCACTTCGGGCCGGAGCCCACGAGGCCTCTCACAGGGATGCTGCCTCGTCCGCCGTTGAGCCGAGGCTCACGTACTTGCCCGCAGGTCGCCGCCACGTCGTCTCACCGGAAATCGCGCCACCATCCTGTCGACTGCGCCAGTTAAAGTTGTTCCTGGTGGGTGTGAGGGAGGCAGGTTCCGCTTCGATGGTCTGGAGCGTGGTGGCACGAACGTCGCTGAGTGACGGGTCGACTCACTGCTTGAATAGAACTATGTGCATTTATTTACACTCTAGTTACAAGTCCCAACTTGAGAAACCATCCTGCCTCGTCTAAAGTCTCGACCCCCGTCCCCAATTTCTCTCCATCAAATCCAAAGTCCGAATCCCTCAAAATCCTCTCCGCGCTCTTTTTGTAGGTCCGTAGGGGCCTCCTTTCCCCTCAGGAACCGACCCTCTTCAAATTCCGCCACTCACACGTGGTACACTGTTCTCCAATGGTCGGCGAGCTGTCATCCTGGCGTCCCAACCGTCAAACCTAAATTCCTCGTAGAGTTGTTCTCTGCAATTTTCCCAGCCTGACTGGCGCCAACCGCTAAGTTATTGCATCGGGCAAAAAGCGACAATTTTATACAAAGCGGCAAAACCCTCTGCATACACGCACATTCGGCTATAAGCCACAAGCATCTTCCAGCGCGGGCTCTTTCGGTCCCGGTCCGAGCAGACCCCCGAAACCCGAGACGCTTCTTAACGACCGCGGTGGGGACCGCTCCCGCACCGCGGCCGCTCTGGCCCCGCCTACCCAAACGTAGAAAGCTAAAAAAACACAATGCCGACGCAACTCTGGAAAGATAAACTTTCCTAACCAAAAGAAAACACCTTAATTAATAAGCATGACTCCTAAATACTTAACTAACGGTCTGCAGGATTTCTTGGATTTCCTGAACTGCGAAGTAGAAAGCCGCGAAAGAATGCAACCAGTAGACGCAAAGAAAGAGCGGCAAACCGGCGAGCCTGCACGAGACGCAAAGAGAGATGGAAAGAGAGATTACAGGGAAAGACCTATCTCATCCGCAGCAGCCCTGAATGCCGTGACCCGCGGGGGCGACCCAAGATGCGTGTTTGGCGCCTCTAGTGATCACGACTTGGACGGGTGCGCTGCGCAGATGTCAGTCTCAGAGAAAAGGGAAATTCTGAAACGCGAACACAGATGCTTCCGCTGTGCAAAACATGGCCACAGATCTCGTGACTGCAAAACGTCAAAATGGCTAAAATGTGGACGATGCGCGGGGAGACACTTCACGAGCATGTGTGACCCCGACCTGATGAGCACCCGCGGTTCCACGAAAGAGGACTCGGCAGTGAGGGGTGTAAAAGAGACCCACGGACAACAGGTGTTCCAGTCTTCTCTGGGAGTGAGAGACCGTCGCTTTGGAGGAGAGAAGACGCAGGTGCTCCTTCCGACCGCTCAGGTATGGGCAGAGGGCCTGCAGAAGCGCATTTTCGTCAGACTCCTCCTCGACGGCGGCAGCCAGCGTACGTTCAACCAACGTGGCGCCTCCGAGAAGTTGCAGTTGAAGGGGCTGGGAGAGGAGGAGCTCCGGATCTTCACCTTCGGGGACAACACAGCAGCGAGACACATGAAGTGTCGACGGGTGGAGCTCTGGCTGAGAAGCCAGTACAACAGACAGGAAGTCCGCGTGGAGGCTCTGGAGGTTCCCTACATCTGCGCGGATATCATGACAGTTCCATCGGAATCTTCAGTGGCCCACATGATGAACGAGGTAATGAACATCGCCGACGCTTCGGGAGGTGCCCACACTGAGGATGGAATTAGCCTCTTAATTGGAGCCGACTACTACTGGGCCATCGTCACGGGATCCGTTAAGCGTCTGAGCCCTACATTGATGGCAGTAGACACGACCTTCGGATGGACCCTGCAAGGCTAGGCGGGAACAACCAGATCAACGGCGATATTTTCCTCAGCTGCAAACTTGATGAGGGTGATCGTGGCAGACGAAACAGACAAAGAAATATCCGCTCAACTCCGATCGTTCTGGGAACTCGAGCACCTCGGCATCAAAGATATCCAAGCCACGACATGCCACCAAGACGCCGTACTTCAGCACCACAAAGAAACCACCAAGTTCGAAGACGGTCGCTACCAAGTGGCGCTCCCGTTGAAGCCAGCGGCCGAGAAGCTAACAGACAACTTAGAATCGACGACGAGGCGTCTCCGATCGCAGACCAACCGTTTCCAAAAGAACGAGCAGTTGATAAACGAATACGATGCCTGCATCCGAGACTACGTAGCGAAGGGCTACGCCGAACCAGTCGAAGAAAGCAACCCGCCAAGGGGCCCGGTTTACTACATGTCCCACCAAGCAGTCGTACGGCACGAAAGGCAGAAAACTAAGATGAGAGTGGTATTCGATGCATCGTCCAGCCTGGCAGGTCGGCTCTCGGTAAACGACGTTCTAGACAGCGGACCCAATTTGAACCCAGAATTAATCGACCTGCTGCTTAGGTTCCGTGCTCACAACATCGCCGCGGTCGCCGACATTGAAAAGGCGTTTTTTCAGGTGTCACTAACGAAAGAGGATCGAGATGCCGTGCGCTTTCTCTGGTATGAGAAAATTCCAAAGAACGGAGAAGAACGCCCGTCAATCATAGCATACAGGATGACGCGCATACCATTCGGCGTCACGTCCAGCCCATTTTTTTTGGCCGCGACATTGAAACACCACCTGGAGAGCGTACAGGAGCAGTACCCGACGACGGCGGCGATATTGAGAAACAACCTGTACGTGGATGACCTGGTCACCGGAGCAGATAGCCTGCATGAGGTGAGAATTCTCTGCGAAGAAGTGACTGAAGTGCCGGATAAGGCTGGAGTGAAGCTTCACAAGTGAATGTGAAACAACCTCGAGCTGACAGAAACGCTGCGGGGGAACGAAACCAAACGGGTCTACGCCGACCTCGGCCGCACGACAGCTGGAAAGGTCCTAGGAGTCGGTTGGACTCCGGAAACAGACAGCTTCGAGTACCGGATAGCCTCTCTGATCGATTTCATCTTCTCAAGAGCTGAGAGCAAGAGGTTCGTGCTTCAGGTGTCGGCAAGGATCTTTGGCCCCTTTGGATTTCTCGCGCCCATCACAACAAGTGTTAGGATCATGTTTCAAAGGCTGTGGGAGCTCGGGGCAGACTGGGACGACCCCTTACCTGAGGCCCTGAGAGCCGAATGGGACAACTGGTGCAGAGAGCTTCCCACAATCGGAAAACTGTCTGTCCCAAGGACGATCATGGCAAACTTCAGAAGCAACAAGACCAACAAGACGCTGCATGTCTTCTGCGATGCAAGCCCCAAGGCATACGGCGCCGTTGCGTACGCCGCCACAAAGACTGCAGCACGAGAGGTGCACGTGGTTTTGATTATGGCCAAGTCAAGAGTGGCACCCCTGAAGCGCCTCTCCCTGCCGAGACTGGGGTTGATGGGAGCACTGATTGAGGCGCGGTTGAAATGCTACCTCACAAAGACGTTACGGCTGAAGGACATACCCGCCTGCCTCTGGACGGACTCAACGGTGGCGGTGCATTGGATCAAGGGGTCGGCAGACAAATGGAAGCCGTTTGTGGCAAATCGAGTGGAAGAGGTGCAGCGGCTGACCGACACACAGGAGTGGAATCACTGCCCTGGGGTCGAGAATCCAGCGGATCTCCTAACCCGAGGCGTTCTACCCTCAAAACTGGTAGAGACCGCGCTCTGGTGGAACGGACCCAAGTGGCTACAAAATCCGGAGTCGGTTTGGCCTACCATTAACGAGCAAACGCCCAGGGCCACCGAATATCAAGAGGGGAAAAAACTAATGGCAGTAATGTTGGTGGCGGCACCTCCCACGACACCTCTCTTGCAACTGGAGGAACACAGCCGGCTAATCAAAGTGCTACGATTCACTGCTTGGATCCGGCGCTGTGTGCACAACTGCAAAAACAGGGAGGCAAGAAGGGAAGGCCAGTTAACAGCCGAGGAGTTGACAGACGCTGAACGATATTGGTTGGCCTGCACACAGAAAGAGGCGTATGGAGACGATATCACAGCACTGCGCGCCGGAAAGGAACTGAAAGAAAACTCCGCCGTTTCACGCTTCGGGCCGTACCTCGATGACGACGGTCTCCTTAGGGTGGGAGGAAGACTGCAATCCAGTGACATCAATGACGAGACGAAGCATCCTGTTATTCGTCCCTCCGACCACGCATTCACCGCCCTTCGCATATCAAGGGAACATATTCGACTGTTGCACGCAGGAGTCCCAGACACGCTGGCACAGCTGAGGGAGGTGTACTGGATTGTCAAAGGACGGCAAGCCGTGACGAAAACGGTTCACCGGTGCTTGGTTTGCCGCAAACAAAGTTGCAGGCCCGCAACGGAACCTGTGGCTCCTCTGCCAGCAGAGAGGGTAAAAAGGAGTGAGCCCTTCACTATCACAGGTGTGGACTTCGCAGGATTCCTGTTCAGCAGAGAGGTTAACGGCTCTGGGAAGACTTACATAGCCCTGTTCACCTGCGCCGTCACCCGTGCTGTTCATCTTGAATTGGTGAGCGACCTCTCCGCTGCTGCGTTCCTGTTAGCATTTCAGCGGTTCGTTGCACGCAGGGGAATCAGCGTCGTGGTGCACTCCGATAATGCGCTGACATTCAAGCGAGCGGAGAAGGATCTCAAGGAGATGTTCCACGCTATGAAATCGCCCGAGGTGCAGTCGTATTTCGCGAACCATGGCATTCGTTGGAAGTACATCGTCGATAGAGCAGCGTGGTGGGGAGGATTTTGGGAGCGTCTCATTCGATCAGTGAAGGTGTGCTTGCGCAAAGTGCTGAGTCGCATCAGATTGATCTTCGAGGAACTCTTTACCGTCCTCGCCGAGATAGAGGCCGGGCTCAACTCGCGGCTATTGACTGTCCTGTACCCAGAGGCAGGTGAGCCAGAGCCACTATCATTTGCTGACTTCCTCGTGGGGCGAAAGCTCACGTGTCTTCCGCCGCATCGCCTATCAGCAGAGACCCCTACAGGTGCAGCGAGTCGGACCAGGCTGGTGCGGCGTTGGAGGTACCGCAGCGCCATTGTGGAGGGGTTCTGGCGAAGGTGGCGCCGTGAAGATTTGTTGGAGCTGAGAGCGGCACACCTCGTCAGACCCACCCCCTCAAGCGGCCTCAACGTGGGTGACATGTGCCTGCTGAACGAGGACAGTCTCCCGCGACACATGTTGGAAACCTGCCGTGTTAAAGAGACGTTCAGTGCGAGAGATGGCAGGGTGCGGTCCTGCAGACTTGTGCTACCCGGGGGAGGCGAACTCAGGCGACCGATTCAGCTGTTATACCCCCTAGAAGTTGGTAACGATGAGCTACCGCAATAGCTCATCCGGGGGAGATTGTTGCATTTTGTGTGTGTGTTGCTTTCAGAGTCTGCATCCGCATCGTTCCGTCTCCTGCTTGTGTTTTTCGGAACAACGGTCTCCCCTTGAGTGCTCCGCAAATTTATGACCCAGAGGGAGCATTCCACCAAGCCACCCGCAAACGCGAACGGGCAGGCGACCACTGACCCCTGTGTGAACAGCGTTGCAGCTGCGCCTCGGAGGGGCGGCTTCTGGTCACTCGACACCGTGTACCCTCTTTCCCCTTCCCTCGCGTCTTTCTTCCCTTGACGTTGTTCTGAAATAAACAGTTCTTCTTGAGAGTTGAAAAGGTTCGCTTCGTGTCTGTCTCTCTGGAATAGCGGCTGGCTGATTCCGAACCACCGTGTAATGAAGTTAGCCGGCATTTAGTAATATCTCTTTACTACAATACAATAACTTCTGCACCTGCAAAACATGAATCTTTGTTGCTGCGTGCCGGACAGCCTTAACCACAGTTAAGGCTGTCCGTGTGACGGGTATAAGTCATGACGGTAATAAAACTGAGTATGTATCATTTCTGTTCTAATTTTTGCATAGGATGTGTCATGAGGCTGGCCTTAAGCAATTCCTGTAATAAGCCTCGCTTATGGACGCGCACAAACAAAAATTCCAACGGTATGAAGAAGCACTGGACCAGCTTGGATTTGAACCTGCGACCCTCAGTTTGTAAACCAATGTACTAAAACTATCAGAGACCACAAGAAATGTATGCTTCGTTTGCTTTATATGCTTTATATACAATCTCGAAAGAGATTAACAGTATTGGTAGAAAAGGAGAAAGGGTTCCATCATGTCCGCTTTGCTTAGGGTAGTCTCATCTTTTGTAGTACCAGATGCCTACAGCATGGACTGACTGAAAAACACAGACAAAATAGCAGGTAACATACAGCCATCATTGGGCAGGTGCATGTACAAGCTCGAGCCGGGGAACACTCTTTCACGTGCATACAGAAGGAAAAGAAGCGTTGTGAAACAAAACGGCTTAATATCGCCATGCGAGGCTCTCTTTCACACCCTCCAGTGCTGCGCATGATAAATTCCGTGTTACCGCTGCCTTTGCCTCAGGAGCCTTTTTAGTATAGCACAATTAATTTCTTTTGAATATTAATTTTCAAGGTGTTGCCTGGCCCATACATATCTTCTGAGATGCAAGTTTGTATTTTTTTTCAATAGGCATCTTCAGTGGCACTTGTTTCGTCATAACAGAGCGTCGAAAGATGTGCAATGATGCTGTGCCCTTCTTGGAGGCAGTATGTGCTGAATTCGCCACATTTAATGTGCTGAACCTCTCCTACCCAAAGGAAGCTTCGACGACCCTCGAGCTAATTCAGTGGTGAAAAAATCATTTGGCAATACCTGAGTATACAGAGAGGTAAGACAATGACACACTTGGTATCACCTTTCATTACTAATTACTTTACCTGAAAAGTAAGGTAATTGTTTTCAAAATGTGGAGGAGGTAAAGGGGAAAATGACGAAGGCACTGAATGCGTAATGTAGATGGTTGAGCGTGCTGGCTAATAATTTACGATAATGAATGAGGGACATTTAAGACAAGCAGACAAGCCTGTCCTGTCTGTTTTCCTTAAATGTCCCTATTTCCTTATCGTAAAGCACTGAATGCTTCCGCTATGCAAGAGTTCGATAACTGTTTTGAACAATGAAAAAAAAATCAGCGGGAAAATTTGTTGCATCTCAGGGAGAGTACTTTGAGGGTAAATTAATTTTAGAAATGTGTAAAGGAATATAAGAATTAAAAAACTTCTTTGCTTTTGGGGGTTTCCCTTCTTATATCTACAGGGCAGAGTCTAACAGACCATATGTCGTGCCTTCCTAACCAAATCTTCCAAATCAACCCAGAGAAGGGCTCAAGGAGCACGGGAGCAAAGAAGCGGACAGCTGTCAATCCCAAGATTTTGAAGCTGCTGAAGAGCTCAAAGTAGAGCCTGCAACACTGAATTTTTTTAAATAAAGGAAAAGTGACATTTCTGCAGATTTATTATTTCTTGGAGGGTAAGGCTAATCTGATGTGTCTAATATATTTTTCTGTCATATGGTATGGTATATAAGAAATACACTATTGGTCAAATGAATGTTTTTACCTTAGTCGGTGTTGACAGTTGACACAATGGATACAACAGCACACAGCGGATGGAAATCCAGAATGTTGGGGATGCTGCACATGTCAAGCAAGGCAGTAGCTTCTGACTCCTAATAGCTCAGGAACTTGCCTCATTTGAATCACAGGTCACAAGCAAGGGCCCTGTACACAAATTTCTGAAATAGCTTTTGTCCTGATATGTCCAAACATCACAATGACTATCTCAAAAATAATTTAAGCCATTTCTTTTATTTTTTTATAGTAAATGTTTTTCAGGGGCGTTTTACGGCACACGTCACCTTATCCCTGGCAGTTTTCTGCACCCATGCTTATACACTGCAACATTGCTTTGCATAGCAAGTTTTTTTTTGCAAATATGAAACTCTACATTGTTTATATTTTCATTCTGGCATTTATGTTAATGTAAATATTTACTTTCCAGGAGGTTTGCGTCGAATCGTAAAACATCAAGCAATATTTTATAGTCAAATGTTTGGAGAAATGCTTCCCGTTTGTGATATTTTGGATCAAAGGTATAGTTGGCAGAACTGGTTTGACTTACGGTAAGTGATTGCTTCAGTTCTAATATATTTATCAGGTTTGTGAGAGTAGGCCTCTCTGACATACCCGTGAGTGCCAGCTCAATTTTCTCTCGGTGGGGGCAAACCAATATTATTTTTGGGAGGAGGGAGGGGAAAGGGGGTGACATTTTCATAGCTGCTTGTTTAATATTCTTACTCCAACTAAGTGCAGCATGTCGCCCACAAATTGTTTCAGGCTATCCACAGATTCTTAGTACATCTCGATTTCAAATTGATCCATGGATTGCGCATTGCCGATGATCTGCAAGCTGAGTCACTACCCACAAACATGAGTGCCAATAGGTAAATCTAAACATTTACCCAGAATCCTTGAGAGAACTGAAGGAAGACAAAGTCAACTATAGCCAGTTGTATAAGGAGAGTGACTCATAGCCTTTTGTACCCTTAGCGGCCATGTTTGTGTGTGGTTACTCACATTCAAAGGCAGTATGACATTATGTGAATACACTCTATTGTATTTCCTACCTCGTCAACTTTCACGTGCAAGAGTTCATGGTAGAGTCCTTTACAACGTTTAATTATTTCTGGAATATATGCTTATGCTAACTTTCCCTTGTACACAAAACGAACAGTTTGGAATACCTGCAAAGAGTTCAATGTGCCAATTAAGCGAAATTAGCTGGTCATTCAGTGATACATGAGTGGAAAATAACTCATTTTTAGCAGAGCATCAAAAGTAAGATCTGCATTGCGAGTATGATGCACCACATATTCTGTGAGGCTTTTGAATAAAATGTTAACAATTACCATAAAAAGGCTGTGAAACATAAATGTGTCGGGAGTCAGTCGGACGCATCACGAGCGCGCTGCGTGCTCATTGTCGTCCTCTGAACAAGAAGTCTGGACTGCTAGCTCGGGCGATCTACGGGCATTTTTCCACTTGGGCAACTTCAGCTCCACATTCAAAAGTAGTACCTATATGTCAAAATGACTTGCCAGCCACCTAATTCTCGGGGAAGTCTGAAACCACCGACCTGCAGCAAAACTATATCCTTGGCATGCAATTCCAAACGACGAAGAAGAGGTTCTTGTTCCACGTTTTTCTTTTATGTCATGGGCCTGCACTCTTTATGTGTAGAAAATCGGTATAAATAAGACATTGCATGCGCATCTTTAGAAGGGCAGTCACTTAGGAAATTGTATACCACTTATTGGTCTATACAAAACATAGCCTTTTCTTCACTGTCATGCATAAAGAGGTGCACCATCCGTGGTTGCGGAAGCTGAGACGCCAATAAACAAAGAATCAACAGGCTCGAGACCCACTCCTCTTGGTCTGTTCGGCATAAGGTGTCAGTTTCACAGATGCCGTACTTCCTTCCTTCCTTCAATGAGCTTAGTAGAGAGTTAGAGGCCGCGTCCCTGCTGGCTGTTGATCCCAATTTTCTGTGACCACCAGCCAGGAAAGGGTATAGAAAACAGGAGAGAGTCGCATCTTTGCCCGAGACCGTCATTAATTGGTATTCACGTGATCATGGTCAGTGGGGTCCAATCTACCATGTGATCACACTAGAAATAGTCACCATTGGTGGCCATATAGTCCCGTGACCAGTACCTATTGTCCCCGAGCACGCACAGCATGCGTTTGAGTGACGTCAACACATTTCGTGCATTTCCGGTCTTTGTCAGCATGGTCAAGCTGGCCTAAACTTTTGCTTCTGTGCGAACACCACCATGCTGAATCTCAGAAAGCGCCTGTAAGCCATTGTTTTTATATTTTCATTCTTGGTAAATAATATCATGAGTTCTGAGAAGAAGGAATTGCGTGATGTTTTTTTTTGTGTGTTTTCGGTTTTGTCACAGCAGATATCATCTCCTCTCTGATAGTCCTTTGCACCGATGCATGTACTGAAAGGCTGCCTCACATAACTATAGTGTTGGTTGCAATTTATGCAACTCTACTACCCTTCCTACACGGGCAGCCTTAACCTCATTTAAGCCAACCGCAGTCACGCTTAACCGCAGTTATTCGCAGTTACACAACTAACCAGGCTGCAGTTAGCGCGATAACCATGGCTAACGCAGACTGAGCTTGGCGGGTTCGCTTCGAGCTTGCTAACCGCGTTCAACATGGCGCCGTCCACCACTTCGCCACGTCCGCAAATTGTGGCTACGTACTCACTGTTTAGAATGCTGGGGGAGTCGTGTAGAAACAATCGTAGCAGCAAATATTCTTTGGGGAGTCATACCTAGGGGTTGAAGCTGCCTTTATAGCAATCGCAGCACGTCTCGGAACAAAGAGAATTCTATTTTTTGTTATTGTTTTGTTTTTGGGAGTTAGTGCTGCCAATGGCAGTGAGGCTTCTACGTTAGATATTTAATAAAAATTAGTTGAAAGCGGTTGAAGACGCCTATGAACAATAAAATATGCCTTGATAATTAATCTGCTTCAGTATTCATTGTGATTACCTAACCCTACACTTGGTTTTGTTTTCGTGTCAGCTTGGAGTTAGGGAGCCATGTAATAGCATCTCGGTTCAGTTTAAAAGCCACGCACCATGGTTAGCTTAAGTGAGGTTAAGGCTGCCTGTGTAACGTGGATATAACTTGTTTATATTGGTGTACTGGCATTTAAATTTATGTATTTATTAATTTTCAGGATGCTGAATTCTGGTCACAAAACTTCAAACAATGTTCTATAGTGAAATGTCTGGAGAAAGGCATGCAGCTCGTGATATTTTGGATCAGAAAAAAAGTTGGCAGCACCGGAGTTTTTTTACTCTAAGTCATTGCTTGACTTCTAGTACGGTGGTTTTCAAATGGGGGTCTCCATACACCCTGGTTGTTAGTCAAGCTAAGCAATGAAACTTTTTGCTCTTATAGATGCAACAAATGTCACACTTTGTGCGATGTTTCTTAATATCACAATATGATAAAGTAAATCGATTAAATGATAGAATTGGACGGTTGGTTCGGATAGAGGTCTACTTTTTTAGCACTGGTTTCTGAAGTTAGGGCTCGATCTATGATCCTGAGAAAAACAAAATTGCACTCCATCTGGCTGACTGTGAGGAAGCGCTTCCCCCTGGCCTCCGCTTCTCCGCAAACACCAGTTCAATGCGGAAAAGCTGTGCGCCATAGCACTGGTGCAAAACAGTAAGCTTGATGTGACTTCTCATTGCAAGCACCACAGATTGGAGAGGCATGTGGTTGGTTCTGAAAGCTCAGAGGCTGATGTTACCAGCACGATCGATAAATTATTTCTATCTAGGGTGAGTGAGCGCTCTGTGAAATACATTTTTCTCTTTGAAGGCTGGGCCTGCCTGAAACATCTGCTTCATTTGTGCTCAGTTATTTTAATTAGGGGCCTACTCATATATTTTGTGTTCCAGCAAATATGGTAGGGTTATTTTTTATTTACCATTGTAGTCTCCCCACTCTTCTTTCTCATGGTGGGGTCCCCGTCACTTTTACCAGACCAGAAGAGTTGCCCCCCTGCCATGAGTGTTTTAGAACCACTCTTCTGATAGATTTATCCTGTTTGTGGGAGTATGGATGTGCCTGATGAATGGGCTTCATGCTTTGTATGCATGGGAACCTTAGTTTGTATGCATATGAATCTTAGATGTGCAGTGCTCCTACTCTATATGCGCTCTTCTTATTTTCTGCATGCGTGTCGTTAACTAGTGTAAGGGCCAGAAGACCAGCCAAGCTGCGCGCTGCAGCTTTCTTCCTTGGGGCTCCATCATATTCGATAAAACAATTAATTTGTAATAATAATATTATTATTATACTTCAGTTTGCACCTATTTCTCCCCTTTTTTTCTTGTGTAGCTGGGCGTGATGGACGAAATCCGACACAAAAATGTGAGAACAGAGGCAAAACGGCATAGGGCATCCATTTCGACTGAAACCTTTGAGGACCCTCAATAAAGCAGTCCAAGGTGACTAAGCTTTTTTTATTTTCCTACCACTTCTTCGGATGAAATATATGCCTTATCTGAGTAACACAATATAAGACACCCAAAAACATTTTTAAATAGGAATGTACTTGATGTTTCTTTACAAAAGGCATATTTGTGTTCATCCCCTTAAAGACGGTTCTGTGTATACACGTTTGCAAGTACGGCCCCTGGGCGCCGCCATCCTGCCTGCTGGGGTGCACATTGGATGCACCATAATTTGATTACAATACCTTGCTAAGGCGTTGTAATCAGACTATGGTGCACCCCGAAGCGCACCCCTGCTAGCGAGATGGCGGCACCCAGGGGCCACGCTTGCCATTATTTAAGGACTCTTTCCGTTATGCCTTTACGGAAAATCTAGATTCTCCAATTAAAGAGCACATTCCGTTCTAAACTTTACAAAAAATTCTGTAAATTTTAGAACGTAAAGATGTCCCTATTTTAGCGGACACCTCACTAAATTGTATTGCGGATGAATTCCTTTCACTAAATTGTATTACGGATGAATTCTCTGGCAGCACCTTTCACCAGAGAATGTCTCCGTAAAAGGGAGCTGAATTTTTACAGTGTAGAGCGCGATCACAAGGAACAGCTACGGAGGGTGGTGGCAAACGAGAAAGACATCGCGATAGACACTCCCATTAGGCCACGAGTCCAATTGGTACCGTTGATATCCGAGCATAACAAATTCCGAGGGAGGGTGGATTGGGGCGCGGATATTACGGTGATCAGGCGGAGTGTGATCCAGGGTGAAAGCCGTGAAACTTCAGGAACCATAGTTCTCCGCCGAGCTTTCGGTCAGTCAATAACAGCTGACTTGATGTACGTGCCGCTGCGGGCCGACTATGACGAGTTCGAAACCGGACCACAGGTTATATATATACTCGTGCACGGTAACAGAGGAGCTGGATGAGGAAATTGAGGCGCTCATAGCACCCGACGCGCACGATGAACTCCTCAGAGAGAAAGTCGAGTTTGAAGCTGAAGCCGGCGACCTGGGCCCCGACCTGCCCGAGGGGCACGGGGACGAGCAGGTAGACTTTGAGGAGAACGAGATTCGGGCCGAGGTGCAGTTCGTGACGAGTCCGGCTGATGCAAGAGGGAATACAAGCGTAACAGAATTCCGCAGAGAGCAGCTCCAGGATGAATCACTCAGGGATGCCTGGAAGGAGGCTGAGAACGGGACACACGGCATGGTTGTGCTCGAGGGGCTTCTGTATCACAAGGATGTCGTTGATAGCCGACCTTGTGAGCAGGTGGTCTTGCCGGCGTCCAGGCGCGTAAATGTGCTTGAGCTGGCGCCCCGTGGGAGGGCACTTTTCGCAGAAGAAAACCAAGAAGAGAATGAAGGGCGCGTTCTTTTGGCCAACGATGGCTCAAGATGTGTAGAAACACTGCCAGTCGTGTCATGCGTGCCAAGTACAGTCGAGGGCAAACGTACTGGATAGAGTGCCGATCACATCGCTCTCGCGACGTGAGCTACCATTTCAAACAATCTTCATAGATTGCATCGGGCCGCTTGACCCTCCTTCGGGAAGGGGTCACCGGTACGCGCTTTGCATAGTCGACCTGCGTACAAGGTGGGCCGAGGTGGTCTGTCGGAGATCATTGACGGCGCAAGCCACGTGTAACGGATTGGTGGGTGTGTTCGCCAGATTCGGAACGCCCCAACTAACCTGCTCGGATCAGGCCACAACTTTGTGGCCAAATTGACGTGACTGCTAACAGAGCGGCTGAGAATGGAGATGCGGTTCTCGGCTCCAGATCACCGCCAGAGCAACGGTCTAGTTGAGAGGTGGAATGGGACTTTCAAGGCCATGCTGCGTCATGTAATTCAGGATCACAGAGGGCAATGGGACAAGTACGTTCTATGTCTACTGTGGGCGTGTCATGAGGTACCCAATGAAACGACAGGCGTGCCACCGTTCAAAATGATGTTCAGCAGGAGTCCAAGTGGTCCACTCATTTTATTGAGATAAGCACTGGACAGAAAAATGAGCGGCTCCGGTGAGACTTAACTCGTCCAATGGGTCGTATCTTCTGCAGCTTAGAGACATGATGAAAAAATCCGCTAATCTGGCGCAGGATAATGCTGGGGTAAACCAGCAGGCTTACGCGGCACGGAGCGACTAGCGAGCCAGGGACAAGTACTTCGCGGTAGGAGACATAGCGCTGATCCTAGAGAAGGACTCTAGCGGCAAGTTAAAGGGAAAGTGGATTGGTCCGGTAAAGATCAAACAGCGGGTAAGAGAGCTCAGTTATGTTGTGAAGCTGTCGGACGGAAGGGAGAAACTTGTACACGCGAACACACTAAGGCGTTACTACGTTAGGATGAATGCAGTGGGTGTTGTTTAGGCTTGGAGTTGCGACCTAGAGACGGCGGGCCTTGAAGTATAGTTCCGGGTTTACATGACGTTCAGGGGAATGATCTCTGGGGCCTGCCATATGAGTTTTGCTAACCCTATAATATTATGTGCTAGTGCTAATGCATGGTGCTTATTGTGTTTGTGTTTCCCTGTGCTTGCTTTAACTACGAATGTACGGGAGGGGTAGAAATTTATTGTGTAATAGGGGAAGGTTGGAGTTTGCCCCCGTTCCAGGCTGCACGGCGAATACCTCGCGTCTAAGTCCTTATCCGAATCTCAAGCACAAGGGTTGGAAATATGGCTAGTCGGCGAGAAGCACCACCGGGTCGGAACGGCACGGCGGGGGGTGCGGAGCGACCCAGCGAGGTGACAAGTGGTGCTGACCAGATCCTCGGGAAAGTGGGGACGATTCTTGAAATTTTGGGGACGCGCGAGGGAAAGAGAAATACATTCTACGCTGAGCATCGGAGGGGGCGAGACGCCACCAGGACTCCGAGAGGTCTCGCGGGCCTCCTAAGATCTGTAAACCAGTCCGTAACTATTTATGTGAATAAACCACATATATCTATTCGTATCCTTCACCCGGGTGTCGCTCTGCCACTACATCTTCGTTGGCCAAGGCGGAATTGGGTTGGCATAATCACATCGGCGGCAACCCATCAAAGAACGTCAACCTCTCTTAACGACACAAGAAGAGAGAGAGAGAAAGGTTATTATATATATATTTTTTTATTTCTCTTCTTCAAATTGCAGATCTCAGGACTTTTCGAACAAACAAACTTAAGATGAAAACTATCTCAAAATTTTTGAGTTAGCCTTGTTTAATTTGAGCCAGAAAACTTACTTATTGTTGTTGTTCGTATTTTTTTTTTGTGACAAACTAGTGGCACGTAGAAAAACCCATAATCGCGAAGCGTATGCCATTTAGCAAAACCACATTTTGTAGCCTCTTTCAGGTGTGTTCACCCCATACGACCCGCAAAGCAGAAACGCTTAAAAATAGCAGTTTTAGTTGGCGCCTCTGAGGACATGGCACGCACATTTAGGAAGTGGTCGATTACAAAGAACGGATTTCTTCTCGTATACGACTTTTTCGAGCCTTTTCCTTAGTTGCCCCAATAGTTGTTATGCGGCAGTAATTTGCGACGTAATTTAACAGCAAGATTATTGTAACAAATTGATCTATCATTATTCGTTACCTTTTACCAATATAGGAATGTATTACGGTAATTCGTGACCTATATTATATCCATTCAACAACATAAAAAGGAACTCAATAATTCAAAAACTTTTCTTGCGTATTCTAACTAAAATCCGAGCTTGCAATACAACAGTAATCAAAGCGGGCGTGTCTCTCTGGTCTCGTCATTTATAATGTCAAGTGTGTATATTTTGCAGTAAATGTGCAAAATAAAGAATACAACAGCGGTGTAACAGATCTTCATTATTGAATA